CTGCTGCTCTGTGCCCTGCAGCGTGAAGCCTCACTTCCGATCATCCAGCAGCTCGGAGCACGCTGGGGAGGGTCCCGCGGCCGTCAGCGCCATGCCGATGGGGGACGGACCACTGAGCAGAACCGGCTCAAGGAATTTCGTTATGGAGCGGCAGAGCAGTACGCTAACTGGGCACCCAGACCAAGGGTTTTCCCAGAAGGATTCTCCTGCCGCGCAGATGGAGCAGAATGGAGATTACGGCATTGGCAGGGGCAGGTGAGGAACCGTGTGTGACACACCAGTGCAGTTGGGTCGTGGTGTCGGAGGTTCGAATGACGTGTGCCAGCCGAGGATCATCAGCCCTTGGCACAACAGATCTCTTTGCAAAGACTGCCCAGGAGAAAACGGACTTGAAATAAAACAGGTGTGGTAGATACTTAACTGGGAGTGTGAACATGTCCTGCCTGACTGTACAGCTGTTAGCTATTCTGACAAACACCTTGCAGGGAGGTAGTGAAGTGCCTTCATTTCAAAATAACTGCCTGATTTGTCCCCAGAATTGATTGCTGAAATAACGTTGGTGTTTGTGTTGCTGTAAGTAATAAGTAAATCCTCAGTTAGGGGATTTGATGCTCCTAAACTTTTAAGTGTCTATGCCCTGAATTAACAGACAAAAGATAAAACCAGTCGATGGTAAAATGTTTAAGTGACTAAGACAGATATGTGAGAGATTGGATGGATAAGTTTCTTACCATAAAATTGTAGGATACTCTTCTATAATGTAGTCTAATTGTCAGTGTGCTGGTTCAGACGCAATGCTCCACGGGAGAGAAAAGAGAAATCGTTTCCCATATTGGCTGTGTTCCAAGAGTGTAAGAGCTTTGACCCCTCCTGAAGATGGAGAACGTCCCAGAACCGTATCTCGAGGAACATCAGGAGGCTGCTGTGAATCCCTGTGTGCCGATGAGCGCACTTCGGCGGGATGAAGGCACTGACTGACTTTTCTTTGCCTTTCCAGGAGGAACGTGTTCAGAGGGCGGAGGAGACGAGAAGATGACCGCGTTTCAGTAAGTTCCACTTCCCTTATTGCCAGGAGTTGCAACGTGGTGGCTTTGCGTTTATTACATGCCCTTTTACAAGCGAGGGTAGTGATAGGACAAGGGGCACTGGATTTAAACTGAAAGAGGGAAGATTTCGATGGGATCTAAGGAAGAAATTTTTCACTCAGAGGGTGCTGAGGCACTGGCACAGGTTGCCCAGAGAAGCTGTGGCTGCCCCATCCCTGGAAGTGTCCAAGGCCAGGTTGGATGGGGCTTTGGGCAACCTGGTGTAGCGGAGGGTGTCCCTGCCCACGGCAGGGGGGTTGGAACTGGATGTCTTTGAGGTCCCTTCCAACCCAAACCATTCCATGATTCTATTGAAGGGGTGGCACAGTCCGTAAATTCTTGGGTTACGTTGTGGATACTCGGTGTTTCTAGGAAACTCCCTGACCCTTGCCCAGTGTTTTAATGCTGGGTGTTACAGCTCTATTAACGGGTATTTTGCTTCTCTAGAGACCTCAGCCTTCAGCAGAAACAAAGACTCAGACACCAAAGTTTGACTTGCTAGCATCAAATTTCCCACCTTTGCCTGGCAGCACCGCAAAAGCAGCGGGAGAGCCCGTGCTGGAGAGCAGGATGTCCGATGTGGTTAAAGGAGTCTGCAGAGAAAAGGTACCCGCTCTGGCCTCTGGCACGCACACCCGGCTACAACGTGCCGTCTGTGTCCCTCCTCCCCTGCTTAAAGAACCGGTTTATGTAGGAGCTGCACATCAGAATGCTTTTAGCCCAAACACTGCACTATGTTTGTTAATATCCCTGCGTTTTCTATCTTCTCTTCTCGGATTTCTGTGGCTTTTTGCGGGCGTTTAGCTGAAGCTGTTGTAATATTCCTGTAATCAGGACTTGAGCAGCCTTTGGAAATATCCCACTTCTCAGATGTCTTGAGCTGACATATTGAAGAGCAATTTGAGCATGTCTGCCATCTTTCCCTGTTTTCTGTACAGGAAAGCAGAGATTTGCTGCCCAGCTCTCCAGCTCCCGCTCAGGAAGACCAGACGCACAGCACTGTCCAGCAGTTTTTGGTGGCTGGTGTGGGCTCACCAAGCCAGGCCGAAGCTGTGGCGCTGAGGTACGCAGACGCTTGAATCGAGAAATATTTGCGTGTCCGAGCAAAGACTCCAGCTGGATTCCAGCAAAGTGACAACAAATGTGTGGTGTTTCTTCTCCGTCTGTGGCAGGCCGCTTCTCTAGAGGCCACTCGATGGAAATAACCCATCGTGGGGGTGATGGCTGTGCCATCCCGTTCTGCAAAAAACGCAGTTGTGACTTCAGAGGAAGAAAATACTTTCTCAAACATCGATTTCTGTGTGAGTGGGTTTTCATGTTAAATTTTTCTTGATGTAACAGCACAGTTCAGCCAGACAGCAAACCAGAAGAAGTGTCCACTCAGAAAGATGTGACAAGCCACGCTTCCCCGCCGGCGTCCGTCTCTCCTGCCACCGCTGCAAAGCCACCACGGACAAACACCACTTCACCTTCTGCTAACGCAAGTGCAGCTCCTGCTTCATCGGTGCAGGTAAGGCCCAGAGCAGGGAGTGGGTGGGGAATGTTGGGAGCTTTCTCTTGGATGTGCTGATGTAGCACTTGGGACCTTCTCTCGCGCAGTTTGCCACTGCCGTGGTGCCATCGCTCGCTGTGCGGGTTCTGCTGTGCCTGGGGTGGGCTGGAGGAGCGTGGCCTGGGTTGGGCTGGGATGTAAACCTTGCTCTTCTCCCTTGGTCCCGAAGGAGCCACGCAAGCTGAGTTATGCTGAAGTGTGCCAGAAGCCCCCAAAGGAGCCGCCTCCTCCAGTTGCTGTTCAGCCTCTGAGGGAACATCGCACCAACATAGTTCCCCCTGCCAAAACCGAAGAAAACGGCGCACCCGAGAAGGCTCCGGAGAAGGCTCACGACAGGGTCGAAGGTCGAATGAAGGATTATCCCGGGTTCCGAGGCAGCGGGCCTCCCAGGGGAGCTGCTGGGAAAATCAGGGAACAGAGGCGCCAGTTTGGCCGCAGATCATCGCCTCAGGGAGCACCGCGACGTGTCGGCAAGGAGCAGTACGTGCCGCCCCGCTCACCAAAGTAGCGCTCGTCCAGCCAACTGTTCTCTGTTGGATTTGAGCTGTGGGCTGGCAAGCAGCAAAGGAGACTGGGAGAAAGGAGTTTTCGTGAAGGGGAGTGCTGAACTGGAGCGTGGCTTGTATGGAGGAGTTGTGGAGGGTCCCAAAATTCATCTCTAAAAGTGATTTCGCAAATGCTGGAGGATTCCAATCAATATAAATATAGAGATTATAATTTTTGTATTTTTGTTTTTAATTTGCAGAGGGTTTCCTGCTTGAAATCAGTTTTGGGGTTGTGAAACTAGCGTTTTGACAAAGTGAAAGAGTATGAATTGACAAATTAACCTGTCCCTCAGCGTAGGAGGAAAAGGATAAGAGAAGATTATTTTTTGAAAAATGAGCGTTTCTGTAAAATTAGAACTTTTTTTAACCTATTTAACATTTGGCTTGTGGGCTGGTGTGTCTGCCGTGGGTGGCCCTGCCCTGCGGAGCGCGTCCGCAGCGGAGGCGCTCGGCCGGCGTGTGAGAGGAGTGCGTGCAGCCAGAGACTGGTGTCGTGACGTAGTCACCGATGAGAAAAACCGAATGTACTACTGTAGTAAACGTCGTGTTTCCAGCTTGGAGTAGAGTCTCTTGACCTTACTAACAGTTCATTCAGCAAGCTTCTCAAACTATGATTTTTACAGGATGCTGGATTGTAGGTCAGAGCACACGGACAGCAAATGTCTCCTAGACGCAGTTGGAAGGAGGCAGAAGGGAGCGCGTCAGGATTTTTGATTTGCCGTTTTCCCTCGCCTCCTTTGAGGGCAACTTCTTAGGTTTGCTTTGTTTTGTTTTCTTCTTGCTTGTTACTTTCTCTAATCTCTTCATCACAGACTTCCGTGCGTTTATCTTGGTATGTTTTCCTGAGGTAGGCCCGGTGTAGGATGGATGGGTGGCTCCGCAGTACGTGGCGTTAGCTTCCCAGAGCCTGGAATTCCAGTTGCCAGTGTGGCATTCTGCCTTGCAGGTGGGAACTCTGCGAGTCAGAGATGCAGCTGGGTTTTCTATGTCCTGACCTGTCTTTGTGTTCTGGAGCAGGGTGGTGGATGCTGTAAACTGGAAATCAGGGGTTGGATCTACTGGGAACTCGTCGTTTACAGCTGCTGTAGTAGCAACTGACTCTTTAAAACTGCTTCAAGTGGAGCTGAAGGCAAAGAATGAAGCAAAACCCCTCTTGGTCAGGGAAGCTGCTCGAAAGGCAGCGTCTCGCCTCGCTGGATGCTGAGTTTGCAACACTATCGTGTAGTAAGGGGTTAAGTTTAAAGGTGATTACCATAATGCCCGGAATAGGAAAATTCAGCCTATTAATCTGCCAAAATCAGCATGCCAGGGTTCAAAGTTCTGCAGAAAGTGTTAGGGAAAAGTAGCTTCCAGCAGTAAGAATCACACCTTTTCTTTTTTTTTTTCTTTCTTTTTTTTTTTTTTTAGTGACTAGCAATTGTACAAATTTCAAGTCGTAAGTTGTGAACACTGGAAAACTCAATCGTGATATATACCGTAACCATCTTAGTAATATATGCTCGTGTTGCCATTAGAGTGAGTGTCAGTGGCAGTTAAAATAACTGTGAAAATCGTCACCTTTGGATTTCTTAGCCAGGTAACCCTTGGCCCTTCTTACTCAGTAGGGATTCTCTACCGACTGCTTGGAGAACACTCATGTCTATTTTTATAAATATATATATAAAGCCAGAGTTGTCATTTCTCTAACTTATTATTCAGCTTGGCAAGCGCTTTGGTTTGGTTCATAACACAATATGATGTATTTATGCAGTTAACTGTTCATTTCTACGCATGTTATATATATAGACATATATATAAAAAAAAAAACCAAAATCGTTATTCACTTTTAAACTACCTGTACTGGGTTTGGGAGTTTTTTTTTTTTAATTTAGTAAAAAAAAAAATCATCGATCACATCTAGGGTTTAGGGATGCTTGCAGAGCCCTTCTCCCTCCGTTTTGATAACGCCGCATTTGTTGGAATGAGAGGGAAGTTTCAATATTTAAAAGTGTTGGTGAATTCCGAGTTAGTTTTTAATCATTTTAAAGGCTGTAAACAATTACTGCAAACTGGAAAAACCGAGCCCGTGTGACAGTCACGGATGTTTGGGATAGATGCGTGCTGTCACCGAGAGGTTGGCAGGCGTCGGGATGCCGATCGCTGCCCGGAGCTTTCGCTGGTGGGAGGAAGAGTTCGGAGGAAGAGTTCCTTGGGAAGAGGCTGTCGGGCTGCTGCGGTGATGGCGAGTGCTGGTCCCGATCCGTGCAGTGCTGGGATAACCTCACAGTGTCCGAGTTGGGACGCAGAACTCCATTTATTGAACGTGGAAGGAAAAATAACAGCAGTTGGGTCTTGGGCGGCGACTGGGAAGCATGGCTGCGGGGAGGACGCTCCGCTTGTCCCGAGCGTGTGTTTTCCAGCAGCAGGTTGTGGCTCTTGCACAAAGTGTGCCAATCAGTCTGTGAACTTGGCTTTTTCCAGCATGTTCAAACGTTTATCAGACCAGAGCGCTCGGAATTATTTATTTCATACCTGCGTGTGAGGATTTAACCCTCAGCGTTCCCCTTCTCCCCCTTGCCCCGCTGCCAGTTATGACTGTGGGTTTGGAGTTTTTTTTTTTTTTTTTTCTTTTCT